GGCTTATTACCGCAGATTTGAAACAGCTGTTGCATATTGCCTGGACAGGACCCTCTACTGCTGAGCCCTGATGTTGGCTGTACACCTTTGGGGTTAACCCAAGGGCCAGGACCATTCCCCTAACATCATATTGATTGACTTTTGCAGTTGGGCTGGTTTTTCCTCTTACAATTGGCCCACATGCCTAGGGATCTGAAGCCAACTAGGGGAAGCCAAAGAAACTCCAATTGCTGTGGTCTGGGTCAACAAGAAGATGGTGTTGGAAGGGCTAACCAGCTTAGGAGAACATAGCCTGGGCAGTCAATAGCTGTGCTATGTTCTGGCCTTCCTCTCAACTACAGATTTGGTGGCTGCCATAGCAGCAAGCTCTTGGGTCTCCAGACGATGCTCTTAAATGACATACCAGTTCATAGTAAGAGTCTCTTATGCATGAATTAAGGTGGCCAAATCTAGCATGCATAACCAAAACCTGGGTTGATCCAGGGAGAAGCTAAGTCTCTCTCAGCTCTCCCTACTAGGGTACTTGGTTCAGCATCAGGGTACTATGAGCATTAGCATGGTTGCTGTGATCTATAGGAATTCCATCACCCTCTTCAGGTTGCCTGATTCAGGTTGAATACTGTTTGGTCAGATGGCCATACTGGGGGCAAACACCCACTCCACTGCTCAACAGATTCTCTATCGTGGAGTTAACAGAAGTGAGATTGGAAGTGCTGTTGAGGTTCTGGGAGATGTCAAGATTCATACTAAGAGCACCTTGTCTTGGGCAGCACGGGACTTCATCATCTCCATGGTGGCCGTGGAACTCCCTCAGTAAGTCATTGGTCCAAAACAAGAAGCTAGGTATACTCCATGCTTGGTTGTTTCAACTGGACATAAATGGCGATTTGAACTGGGAGACTTTTTGTCCTGGTCCGATCATTATCTTCTGAGGCTTAAACTTACGGTCTACCCACAGAACGTAACAGATCCAGTTGGGTTCCAAAGGACTCTGGGGAGGACTCTGGCTGATAGAACTGGCTTTCTTGTCAAAATCCTGTTTGATTGCAAAAATGACCCAGAGTTGAAAGTATTGCTCATAAGTGATCTCTCCAAAGTAGAGCCTGAACTGCTCCAGTATACTCCAGAGCTGAGAGCAATCACATAAAATAGAAGATGGCTTGAAGAAGTACTTCATTTATCTGTGCTAAATTTCCCATCAATCAGCTTCATGCAATGGCCCCAAGTATGTATGTATGTATGTATTTAGAGCATTTGTGTGCCGTCCATCACATAGCCTCAGGACGGCTTAAAAAAATAAAATAAAACATAATACAGATAAAATCCAGATCCAGAGTATCCAAGTATCATGGGATAGAAAGAAGAATGTCTCCATCTCCATTTTTCCCATACCATGTATTATTTTAAACATTTTAGGTGCCTTTCTCTGTACTTCTTCCAACTTGATAATGTCCTTTTTTCAGATAAGGCAACCAGAACTTTACACAATATTCCACCTGTGGCTGCACCAAAGATTTGTAGAAGAGGAGTATGATCTTGACAGTTCTATTTTCAAATCTGTTCCTAATATGCCTAACACAGGATTTCCCTTTTTCACAGCAGCTGCACACTGGACTATTTTCATCGAGCTGTCAACCTCTACTCTAAGATCCCTTTCTTGATCAGTCATTGGTAGCTTAGATCCCATCAGGCTATACTTAAAGTTGGATTTTTTTTGCCCCAGTAAGCATTCTTTTACACTTGCTTACATTGAACTGCATTTGCCATTTCTAGGTCTGTTGATTTCTACCAGCTTGGAGAGATCCCTTTAGATCTCCTCACAATCTCTCTTGGTTTTAACCAGTCTAAAGAGTTTGGTACCATCAGCAAACCTGCCCCCTTCAATGCTTACTCCTTATTTCCAGTTCATCTTCATTAGATGAGCTTGTAGATATGCTAGATGAGTGTCTGGCTACAAAAATGGACTGGATGAGGGCTAAAAAATTGAAACATAATCCAGACAAGAATGGCATGCTCTTACCAGGTTGTTTTTCTGACTGAATGGCAGGCACTAAGCCTGTTTTAGATGGGGCTACACTCCTCCTGAATGAGTGACTTTGTAGATTAGGGATTCTCCTGGAGCCAATGCTGTCTCTTGAGGAAGAGGTAGCATCAGTAGCATGGACTGCCTTCTGCCAACTTCAGTTGCTAGCCTAGCTGTGCCCATCTTGGCTGGGATAACCTGGCTTTAGTTGTCTTATGCTCTGGTAACTTCCAAGCTAAATTACTTCAATGCACCCTATGTGGGGCTGCCTTGAAGATGGTTCAGAGGTTGCCGCTTGTACAAAATGCAGCCAGACTGATAACAGAGACCTGAAGGTCTGAACATATAACACACATTTCATCCACTTGCACTGACTGCTTAAACAATTCCAAGCCTGATTCAAGCTACTTGTAAACTACAGTTATTATCCAAGGCTGCATTCCAGGTACTGCCTTCAAGAATGACTCAGAGGCAGACAAGAAGTGGGAGGGCCTTTTTAGTGGCAGCCTCCCAATTTTGGTGCTATATTAAGTCTTTTTTCTCTTAGCCACTTGGCAGCATATGATAAGTTTCTTAACCAGGTCTTGATTTTTTTTTCTTGGTATTTAGTTTTAGATCTAAAATTAAAAACTAAAAACTACAATGTAATTTGTTTTAGATCTCTTCCCTTCCCTCTCCCTCTACCTATGTATATCTTTTATTTATACATCTGAATATAAAGGTTTTTTCTACTATAATTTAAGGCTTTAATCTTTGTAAACCATCCAGAAAACTTCATGTACTGGCCTGTACAGAAATGTCAAAAAGGAAATAAAAATCAAGCCATTAAATGAATTGGTCTTATCTAACAAGGAAACTTTAAAACAGGACAACAATGTGATATGTTGGCGACATACAGGTATGTGAGGGGATGTCACATGGAGATGGGTAGAGACCTGTTCTCCCCTGCAGAGGAAGGCAGGACGCGCTCTAACGGAGCAAAGCTCAGGGAACCAAAGTTCCATTTGGATGCCAGGAAGCACTTCCTGACAGTTAGGACCCCAAGGGTGTGGAATGGGCTTCCACAAGAGGTTGTTGAGGCCCCATCGGTGAGGGTGTTCAAAGATAGGCTGGACATGCACATGGTGGGCATGTTGTGAGCGGAGCCAGCTGGTGCCGGAGGTCAGACTAGATGGCCCGGGAGACCCCTTCTGATTCGCGCTGTTTCTATGTTTCTAATATTTAAGAGATGCCTCCTGTTCAGAGCCAAATTGTGTCTCTTCAAAAAACTATGTCATAGCTCTATGTTATGTTTCAGCGTTCAGTCCAGCCCTTTCTGGGCTATAATATTTCAGGTGAGAGGTTTCTATACATCAGAGTGCTGTGATGGCAAGAATTCTACTCCATGATCAAGCGGAGGACAGAGAATATTCCTTGACTGAGCTTTCTAAAATGTAAGATGGGCATGAGAGAAGTGCATTATGAAGAAGCATTTACAATTTACAAGAAATGCTACAATTTAGAATGGATTGTTACCAAACAGTATTTCTAAATGTGTAAATTTGCTTATAAATATGAGCTAATGGTCTTTGAAGACTAGTACTCAGTGAAATCAGAGTCCACCAGAAGTTCTACAAACACATCAGATTTAGAAATAGTTATAGCAATGCAGCAATATTTATACATTTCAAGCATACACAGTGACTTGTGCATGATTAAAGAGATCTCAAGATGTCACCAGGAATTACTTCTATCCCAAGGTATCTTTTCTTATGTCCATAAGGGATTCTTTTCTAACCCCCTTCTGTTTTTTCAAGTGACACAGAGCTGTTAATGCAGCAAGGACCTCCTTCTCAAAATCAAGATAGGTGACAATACATGGCTTCATGTCCAAGTCCGTTGGTGATAGCTGGCCAGCCTAGCAACAACCATGGTCAAGTAGTTTCATAACATTCAGTGATGCAAATTTTTAAGACAAAATAGCTAGAAGCAGCCAAGATTAGCTTCTGAAGATATAACTACTTCTGCTACAAATGACCCAATAAACTAATACCAAAATAAAAAGTCTACACGCTTCTCATTTAAACTTGGTAAAACTCACCTGGATCTATTCTAACAATGCTGAGTTACTGATTGGGTCAAAAATGTAGGACATGCTTTGCTCACTACCTTTCTTATCTTTTAGCCTGTAATCCTATAGGAATGAGCCTATATTACTAAAAATAATTCATATTTTCTATTTCTAAACCTGTTTGTTTGAGTATTTAAACCTTTTCGCTTCTTCTAACCTTCTTCTCAAAGTATGCAGAGACAGAAAGACATCAAGTGAGAAGTGTCACACTAGTACCATAAAAAATACGAGAATTTGTCAGCTTCTGTTTCAGCAGACAAAGCAAAATCTACTGAAAGGGAAAAGAGCAGATTAAAAATAGACTCAAGAACTTCAACCCATTAAAGTAATAGCCAAACAATATATATTTACTTGGCTGATATATACTGTGTACTAGGTGGAACGAATGAAAAGTATTTATACAAGCATAGAAATAGCTGGTGGTAATTAAAGCACTGGCCTAAGTTTTGAATACCTTCTGCTAAGAATATATGGGCTCCTGGGAAATGCATTAATCCATTTTCAGTGACAAAATTTCACCTGTAAAGAACTAGCCATTACGAGTATATGCCAGTCTCCTAAATTTCTGCCCTGTGCAGCATCAGTGATGACACTGTCATCCAGTTAGGTATTTAGAACTCTTCCATCCAAACATGATCAATAGTGAGGTGCACAAATGTTTGAAAGCAAGAAATCCCTCATTTCAATTTCTTTCAAATGCTTAATATTTTCCTTTGGGGAAGCAACTTATGTTTTATTGTAATGATTTCTATTTGCTTCTGGAGCACAACTCATGCTCTTCAATTACTTTTAGTAGATTGTGTAATTATTAGCAGGAATGGATTTTGGTTAGTCTGTGTTCAGTTTACTTATAAGGTTTCCACTTACCTTCAGGTAAAGAACCTGGCTTATGAGAATATGCAGAGCTTTTCTTGCTGCTTTCACTGTTCACAGACAAATTGGACTGGATTTTTCTGTGCATTTTTTGAGACACAGGCGCTGAGAATTTCCTGCTGTCTGAAGCACCATGTTTGACTCCATTGTGAAATCTGCTTCCATTACTTAGACCTACATGACCATTTAGGATTTTGCCAGTTTCGTCCTTACACTTTTCAAGTGGCAAAGGAGTTGCTTGAGGCAAACGCTGAGGTTGTGCTTTAAAGAGGGAAAAATGAAAAAAGAAATGTTAATTGGTATCTGTGCAGGGTAGGCCCTTCCTTTTCTTTAGACAATGACAAGTTAACAGAAATGAAATCTTGCATACAATGGAGAATACTATTAACTTATCACACTTTAAGTATGAAAATTTGGGAAAACTCTTATTTAAAGATCATTTCCTGTTTTATTATCTTGTTGTCTTTAATGCAAGGTTCTCCCACTCCCAACCTACAGAGCAAGGAGACTGGAATTGAAACCCCAAGGCAAATGAGTCTTAAGGACAACGTTAATGGGAACTGGCAGAACTCTGAGTAGGGTAGACTAAAGTTTCCCTTTAAAAATAGATTAAAGCAACCATCAGGGGAAGGAAACAGTGGACCACACTGTAAATCTTTGGAAAATTAATCATCACCCTTTACACATTTGTCCCAAACTAAACCATCAATTTCTAAAGATGCCATTTAGCCCAATGGGAAAAAAAATTCTTCAACAGGATAGGCATCAATATTTGGAGGGAAAAGTTAGATCAAAAAGATGCCATGAAGCAGAAAGGGTTGAAATGCTTCCTTCCTCCAGTGTTATGTCCTTAATCTAATTAAGGGTTCACCAAATTTGGGTTTTTGGTTTTATTTGAGACAATAAATTTGAAGATCTAATTACAAGTTTCTCTCATCTGTTTATGTTTGGCCCCAAGGGATAAGCAAATGCAGACCTAAGTACAATACGCCAATCACATAAGACATTACATAGGTAGAGAAACACCCTAGCTATGTTTTCCCATTAGGAGAGTATTTGGAAGAGCACTAGCAGACCGCTCTGTAAACTTAAGAACTATAAAGCAGTTATACTGCTGGAACTTCCATTGGATTCTCCTCTGGAGCATAATTCAAAACTTAGCTTTGGCTAGCGCAATGTCATTTGAGTTAGCAGAATGGTATAGTATGTGTGACCATCCTGCCTTCTTTATTGCTTGTATTGAATAAAAGGTTAAGGGAAAAGCATCTACTCACAGTTTCTAGAATATTAGGAACAAAAGTGAATTAGCAAGCCCAACTCTTTTCTTAAACCATGAGGATATCAGGAAAAGTTTCCTCACTGTCAGAATAATACAGCAGTGGAACCAGCTGCCTAGAGAGGTGGTGGGCTCTCCCATACTAGAGACATTCAAAAAGAACCTGAACAGCCATCTAAGTGGGATGGTGTAAACTGGTAACCTGCAACAGCAGGGGGTTGGGCCTGATGGCCTCCATGGCCCCTTCCAACTCCACTATTCTATGATTCCATGATTCTATGACTGTTTGTTATTGTCAAACAGATAATTTTGTTGTAGGAAAACCAGAGTCATGTAGAGTTCATCTTAAAAATTACTGTGAGGAATTTAGTCTTAAACAATAGAAAAGAGCACAAGCCTAGGAAAGAACAAATAATCCTAGCCAAAACAGGATTCTCTAAACATGGATTAAAAATTGACCTGCATTATTTTATTTTATTTTTTGCTAAATTTTTAGACTTTATTTAAGATGGTAAGTTCCCAAGGCTGTTAAATTTTATCTAAAGTAAAAATGGCAGGTTTAATACAGTGATGCTAAAACCCACAATAATTAAAATAAAACTAGCTGGTTGACAAAAGTGGAGCATAAGGGAAAAGGACAGTAAGTGTTCACCATTACTAATGGAAAAGCAAAACCCTAAAGAACCCCATAGGATCATTCCCACTGGGAGGCAGATGAGCCTTCTGATATTCCATCCTGAAATATGTAATCCAGGTAGGTGCTGAGGCATCACAAAACAGCGCACTGTACCAACAACCCCAAAGGAGCAGAGGATACAATGAGTGATGGTATCAAAAGTCGCAAAGGAGAATCACAAACTCCTTCCCTTCCCAGTTTAAACTGTCAACTAGGACAAACACTGGCATTTTCAGCCCAAAACAAGTTCAGATATTTGCCCAATAAGGTTCTGGACAATTACATCTGTCCAAAAGGACTTGAAGTCCTGCAGCACTACCCACTTGATTGCCCTGCCCTTCAGACTGGATGGTAACAGGTAAAACAGAAAGGTCATGACAGAGTTTCTTTTAATTTTCTTTTCCTTTTTAAAAAATCAGGGACCTGAGCATCATTCCTTTAAGAAGACAAGATTAGACCCCTCAACTAAAGAGGCATTCATTACTGATAGATAGGGCAGCCTTAATAAGTCAAGCAGGAGATGTGTGAAACAGGCAGGTCATGTCATACACTTCCTGCAGTAGTTGTCACCATGGTCACAAAAAATCAACTGAACATATTCAAACTGCTTTTATTAGAAACTAAACTTGATTTCTCATACAGATCCAGATACACATGTACCATTCATTTCAGAATGAATCCAAATGACTCTTTTTCTTTTTCTTTTTTTTTGCAAAATGTTGAGCAAACTCATCATGGTGGGATACCAGAATGGCTTTAAAGTTCACATGCTAACATTTACAACTTCTTTATGACCATCACAGAACTGGCCTTCAAATGGAGTCTAAACTGTGTTCAATCAGATTTGCCATGAAACTTCTACCTCTTCAGCTGCAGAATAATCCCAACTACTTCATTTCCAGCAACTCTTCACTAAAATTCAGAGCAGGTTCTGCTTTGATCAGAAAAAGCAAATCTAGGGCAAATCATGTAAACCACCCAGATCAACTTCCAAAAGGCTGACCATGCTTCAACATTATCAGCTGAGAACCCCCTAAGCACAGTCAGGACCAACCCAATCCATCAGCTTCTGAGGACAAAACAGCTTAATGACGCCCTACCTGAGCAAAGCTTCCCAAATCCTATTAATTCCAAGCTAACTAAGATGTATCTAAAACAAAGTCACTGAAAGTTTTTCTACTCACAAGGGCCCATTTTCATATGTAGCCCAGACATGATACTGAAAGGATCTAAAGACTATCTTGGGCTCAATATACACTGTGACAGCCTCCTGATTACCGTATTTTTCACTCTATAAGATGCACTTTTCCCCCCCTCAAAAGTAAGGGGAAATGTCTGTGCATCTTATAGAGTGAATGTGTGTGTGCCCGACACCCGAGACACTGCCGGCCCGCCTGCACCACATGGCACCACCTGGCCGGCACGCGCTCGGTGCGCCCTGCTCCGCCCCCCCCGGCGCAGGTGAGAGCTGTGCCACTCAGGGGGAGAGGTACAGAGGAGGAGCCGCGGGCTTTAACCCACCAGCCGCACAAAGAGATGGACTGCTCACCCCCACCGCCTGGGAACTGCTCACCCCCACCGCCTGGGAAGACCTGCTGCTGCTGCGCCACCTGGCACCACCTGGCCGGCACGCGCTCAGCACGCCCTGCTCCGCCCCCCTCCTCCGCGCAGGTGAGAGCTGTGAATCACAGGCTGATGTGTGTTTTCAAATGGCAACCCGTCTTTTAATGAAGCCCATGGGGAAGTGATGGGGAATGTGCCTGTGATTATCAGGAAGCTTTCCATGGATCAGTTATCTGTTAGTTGATCAGACACATTTTTTTAGGATCAGTGGATATTTGAACAGCATTACCTTCGTGTATGAAGTTTATTCTTCAAAGGCTACTTAGTCCGCTGTGTGTTTGATTTACCATAAAATATCTCATTTTTTATCAGAAGTTTTTTTCTATTATTTACTAGTAGGTCAGCATGGACATTACTGGCTTTTTTAGATTTGTTATTGAATTGTCTGCAGCAGCTCTTGTATAACTGGTGTAGATTGTGGATTCCTTCAATAATTCCACTACTAAGAAAGTGATGTCAGTGATTGTGAGCAACAGAGCTTCATAAATTCTGACTCTGTTCTATGGGTTCAACGAAAACTAGAAGAGTACTCGAACTTTAAAGTCTCTTTTTTGTTAATGACAGTGATGATGGTTCTTAATGCCACTGTTGACTGCTGTTCACTTTACAAGGTTGAAATACGGTATTACTGTATTCTGTTATAGTTTATTAAATAGTTTAGTAAACCATTTGATTCAGAATATTTTTCTTGTTTTCCTCCTCTAAAAACTAGGTGCGTCTTATGGTCAGGTGCGTCTTATAGAGCAAAAAATACAGTACCTTGGTTGCTGTAAAGTCCTAAACTATGCTTGACAGGAGTAGGGGTTGCTTGGCATATAAGTCCCCCAAGATCATGGGAGTCTCCAACAGGTATTCAAGACCACCTCTATGAGCTGTCAAAGCAGCAGGGTATGACATACAGCAGCAACACCTGAGTCTGGTCCTGGTACCAATATAAGATAGACATACCCAATAAAGATATTTTGCTAGGCTGAATGTCACTGAATGATGACATTAGTGAAGAGAAGCAGGAAAATGCCCTGGACAAAGCTGAAAGTTCTAGATGACAGGAAACAAGTCGCAGCCACTTTAAAAATTCCCCTGCAGTACCTAATCAGAGTTGACACTATATATGTAATCAATTAATATATGATTTTGCTGTTCAAGTTCAGTAAAAGGTACAGAATTGGGAAGGACACAAGGTGCAGCCTCCTAATCAAATAGTGGGACTTCATGGATCCAACATTCAATTTTAAAAAATAAGCATGCACAGTAAGACACCATGATCTTTAGCAAAACTTCATACTTTAAAGAAGACAGAATGGCTAGGAGGATTTCGTACTACCCATCATCCTCCTAGTTGAAGAAAACCTCACTGTACACAGAAAGCATTTTTCTTAACTGTAAACAAATTTCTCATTTGTAAGAATGTCAAAAGCACCTTATCTAAACCATTAAAAAGGGGAAAAATGTGTGCCAAACTGACTGGACCAGCAGAACAAGTATAAAGTGCATCTGACAGACAAACACAGTGGCTCTACAAAACTTGGTTTCTTTTTTGTTTTTAGGCCTCATGACTAACTAGAAATATGTGGACAAGCAGGTTAGTAAAATGCACACACAATACTGAAAATATTTAACCATACTCTTATTTTCAAGGCTGGTAACTAATGCAATTCTTTTGACTGACTTGGTCCTTAGAACATA